TCACAGTCGTATGAGTAACTCAAGTTTTCTTTGTTGTTTATTAATTTGTCAAGCTGTCGGTTCACTGCTCGTCAGGTCTCACATTAAGCGAAAGTCGAAAATCTTCACCGAGCTTAGATGCCGAGGGCCTTAGGTTGCACGGCGGAAATCTTGACGAGTATCGATTCGATACTCAATCGACGGAGATCTTGCCGCGACCGACGGAAATCTTGACCGCGTGGCCCTGAGCTCGTTTACGCGCGCGCCTGAGACCGACGGCGTACTCCAAAGGACGATTTACACTGTACAAATAATCAAAGTTCGAGACCGAACGGCGCGCGAGCGTTCGGAGAGCGCAATTGACGGCGATTTTCGCTTTAAGTGAACGACTCTCGGTCCACAATCCACTCGGTTCTGCCCGATCATGAGCGATGCAAAACAGCCGTTGGTCAGCTGGCGAGTCACAAGAGACTGGAACGCGCCGCGACACTAATAGAGCGAGAGCTCGCGAAGACGCGATCCAGAATACGGAATCTAACGGATTCCGATTGCGAGCTGCGATATCCCCAGTGGGATGTGAGCTCGAGATAACCCGCCACGCTTTTAACAGACCGATTCGTGTAAAAAAAAAACAAATTTGATTCTCACTGATTCGAGTTAGGAAGAGAAGTAAGATCGAAGTGAAGAGCCGCGTTGAGCGGTCGCATATATACCGATTTTGAAAGGGCTACGACGCGAGTGGATTGGGCCAGCGAAGCAAGGCGAGAAACGGTTTTCGCCACGAGCGAGAGTCTACATTTCCTTATTTAGGCATTTGTCGAGTAACACGAGCTTTTCGCGGCGCGAGCCGCCCGCCGATTCGCGGAATCCTTGTTTGTGCGATCCGTTGCCATGGCGATCGCTCGGATCCTTACGACGGCTGACGGCTCGCTGGCATCGCGATGCTGGGATCGCACGTGATACGAACGTGCGATCAACATTGAAAGGACGAAGTGCGTCGCTTGTGTGCCGAATTAGAGCATCGAGTGATGTTTATCTCAAATAAATGATTGCCGCAGCGGTCACCGGTCCCCGCTGACGTGAAGTTAACCGTCATGTTGGTTCGAATCTCGAACAGTATTTTTTGTTTTATTTATTACGCAGATTATTTATTTTATTTATTACGTAAATTATTTATTTTATTATGACTGTGATATAGCATGTTTAAGTACATGCATAAGTGCCACATTTTTTTTTAATTAATAATTTTTTTATACATTTTTTTTGTGATCATTTTTATTTTATTTATTTCATTTTTTATGTTTGGTGGCAAAAATGTGATCACACACATATGCGCTCATGCTCATATGTGTGGCCATAATATATTAATTGTTTTATTATTTTTCAGAAGCCTCATAGCAACAGCATCAATTAATATTAAAAAACTA